AATATAAACCGTGTTTAATATAAACTTTATATAATTACTTACTTTATGTGAACTTTATATATTTACATGTTCTGCAGAATTTAATCTTCAATAAACTGTAACGCCCCATACTGCCAGTATCTTTCTCCCCCTGGTCAGAAAATGCACGTTAATGACACTATGTAAAAGACACATCGAACACTTTATGTAGGGCATACGTAAATCTGTGTATTTATGTATTTACGTATGTAGCTTAGCCTAGCATTTTAAAAACACTACAATCACCTTATGTGGTTGATTGTTCAATAAATCCCTGAACTATATGTTTAACAAATCTCTAACCCTATCAATGGAGTTAGTTAGTTTAGTTCTTATATTATGCACCCTATACCCATCTTGTGGGCGGTAGTGGAAAGGGTTAGAGTCCATGGCGGACTGAAGAAAATGTATATATGCTGGTTAGCATTGTTAATGTGTGGCCACGTCTGTGGTAGAAAATAATACAAAAAATCAAATAAAGGTATTATTGAAACTTTATAGGAAAACATTAAATCCTAAATATATCTTTAATATTATACTTGAAATATTGTATACTTTGCTCTCTCCATCGTACTTCTGCACCTGCTGGCAAGTGGTTCGGTGCAGTGTGCAGGTGATGTTCATTACTGGGTGAGCTGGCAGGTGGTGCTCACCTGCCAGCTCACCCAACGAAAATTTGGTTTTTAATACACTTACACATTTATTGGGTCTTTCCTTCACCTTCATTCAAGCACTAGGGTATTACAGTAAGTGTTTTAATTATAATATTTATTAACGTTATTATTTTTAATTTTTATTATTATTAGTATTATTATTAACAGGAGAGGAGTGTGTGTGTGTGTGTGGGGGGGGGGGGGGGGGGGGTATAATGGTACACATGTCCACATCCCAATGCCCGCCCTTCCAGGACTGGGGGTGCGGGGGTGTACAATAAACTATACCCACATCCGGCGGCAGCTTGTCGAAGGCGGAAGTGTAGCCTAGACAATTTGTCATGATAATTAGTGATGACTCTTATTTTGATTATGGGTCCGTAATCCAGTTAAGCTTTTATTCTTAATTTATATTACAATGCTGGTAAAATACACTTCTTGATGATGAGTATGGAGTACAAATGAACTCATTGTGTACCCAAGTTCAAGTTCAAGTATGTTTATTGAGATAAGCAATAAATACATCTCGAAGGGATAGAGTAGCTTAGGCTATTTCAACCCCCCTCTAATTCAAGTCCCTCAAGGGGCGCACAAATACTGTGACTACAAATAGACAAATAACATTACAAGAATCCAAACAAGAATTGTGTACCCTATACTCACAGGATGAATATAGGGTACACAATAAACTACCACTCACATCATGGGTATGGGTTGCACAAGAAACTATCGCGCAGAGGATGAATATGGAGAGCAAAGTAAACAAAGATTCACACGATGAGAAAGGGTTGCGCAATGTCCTATGACTCACAGAATGAGTATTAGCTGCACAATAAACTACAGGTCACAGGATAAGTATGGGTTGCACAATAAATTACAGGTCACAGGATGGGTATGGGCTGCACAAACTACCGGTAACAGGATGAGTATGGGATGCACAATAAATTACGGGTCACAGGATGAGTATGGGTTGCACAAACTACTGGTAACAAGATGAGTATGGGATGCACAATAAATTACCGCACAGAGGATGAGTATAGGGTGCACAAACTGGTTGGGTAAATGGAAATGGTTGGGTACATTTCCTTTCACCTAATGCGACTATTCATGTGTCCGGACACCGGCGATTGTGTGGTATTGGCTATTTATTTAACCATAACTTTGCATTCATTTAATAATTATATTAAGATATGTTTTCCTTGAAATGTAGTTACATTATCGTCTACATGGCTTTATTCTGACATAAAGACCTATGGCGTTACTTTGCATATATGCAAAGTAATTATAAAATTGATTGGCTTGTGTGGAGGCCTTCACACTCCCTGAGCGAGCCATCAAGTAACTATAAAAAGGCATATATCTTAACTTTCAATTCAGTTATATTTATGCCAAAGTATTAACATGCAGCTTATATTTATGTCTTTATGATGACATAGAAAACTTCGTTTATTACAATATCTAGATTAAATTAACATTGATCTTCGGAAGGTCATAGTTCCCATATCGGTAAGGAGAGCGTCGGCCATGAAGCCTTGTTTAAAGTATGAATATTTTTCCTCTCTAATAAGGTATAATCTCTGTGATGGATTCACAAAAACTATTTTATATCTGCCTTTCTGATAACATATACAAATATAATCTTTATTTGTGAATATTTGTTAATTAAGCAATATATCAGAGGGCGTGTAGGGTTCGGTGTTCAATGAACGAAAAGGACTGGATCACTGTGTACAGGAGGCTGATATGGCAGCAAACACTCTCCTGGCGACCATATTTCTTGGATAAGTCGCTCCACACAATTGTCGCTTGGACCGTCGACTTCCTATGGCGTCACCTCTCACATATTTACGTCTAATTTCGTTATGAAATTAGATTATTTCAGAGTAAAAATAGGTTTGATCATGTTCTATGTGTAGCACCAACATTATAGTAAGTAAATATACCATATTTCTTCATTACTTACGTAATGCTAGGACGATTTGGGTAGTTTTGGCCTGATTTGGGGTGATTGGGGTAATTCTATGGACCGCCTCCACTGGGAATCGAACCCGGAACCTTGGGACTACGAATCCGAAATGCTGTCCACTCAGCTGTCAAGCCCCCCTTCAGCAGTCAAGCTTTCCGGTCCTGCCGGGGTTTTGGGGCATTCCTTTCTTTCACAACTGCCACTCCCATCCCTCCCTCCCTCCCTCTCCATGCTCTGAACTTTCCTGTCAGGTGGCTCTGGAGCCTTTGTGGCAGGCTTCTGGGGTTGAGGGCAACCATGGGAGTGCCCAGGGGTACCTTCAGCCCTTCATGGATTTTGGTCCTCTCGACAGGGAAGTCTTTTGCTGCAAGGGGATCATTTTTCTATAGCCTCCCACTATGTACAAGTTGGACCATTTGGCTGTTACCCCCTTGAGTTTGGTTCCAGTTCCCATTTGGCCCCTTGGAGTCATTGTACTTCCCAAGGTTTCTGTCTTCCTGTACAAGATAATTGTGGTTAGACCACAATTGCCTTATGTGGTCTGCATGGATTTACTCCATACAGAACATGGACATCTTTTTTCCAAGATGGATCCAGCATCTTTTAAATATGGGCTTAGTGGTTGCAGTATGAGGTCTCTTGTTCATCTGGCTGGGTAGCCCCTCCTTTTCCTTGGGGATTGGCAGGGGGGGGGGGTTCTGTCGCACCCACATGCTTGATTGGTAGGTGGCAAGATTTTACCCAATTACTTTCAGGTGTTACCCAATTTTACCTGAGGGCTACCATTTCTAGTGACCTCAATGGGAATAAAACCAGCAGCTTGTCAAAGGTTCCCCCCCCCCATTATTCAAAAGAATTTTTCTTTACAAATTTTAAACTGGAGTACTGTTTGTGAAACAGTTCCATATGTTTATTACCTTATGGGTGGGAAAAAATATCTTTTCTGTCCTACTCTGAGGCTTGTTGAGCTTTAAACTGGTGCCATTTGTGAGAGTTAGAAGTCAAATTAGACTACCAGTATGATTTAACAATCCAGATGTTGTAAAACACATTAGATATAACATTACTGAAAGGAACATACGAGTCAAGCACTTGTCCACTGCCCAAGTGTGTCTGAAATGAGTAACACATAACAGGGCAGATGTAAATCTGTGTATCTATGTATTTATGTATGTAGGTTAGATTAACATATTGTAAACACTACAATCATCTTCTGTGGTTGATTGTTGAATAAATCCCTGAACTATATGTTTAAAAGATCTCTCACCCTGTCTATGGAGGACAGCAGAAAATGTATATATGCTGGTTAGCATTGTAAATGTGTGGCCACGTCTGTGGTAGAAAATAATAATAAATAATAATAATAATAATAATAATAATAATAATAATAATAATAATAAAACAGACCAGTCAGAAGCTTGGGGCCCTTGCAGGAAAATCCCTGCAAAGAGAGTCAACTGTATACAGTGTATTCAAACCACAACAATTTATTCTTTTATATGCAGTATTTCACATTTGCAATATTTAATTCTTGCAGTGCCTTTTATGATAACTCCTGTTGTCAAGGACAGGAAACCTGTACTGAAGTCCCATCTAGGTTGAACTACTGACATTCCTCAAGATGCAGTTTAAACAATTGCCTTATGGCTGGGGATAAATACTTCATCCACAGCTTTGAATGACTTTTCATCCACCATACCACAAACATTCTAATACAGTACAGTGATACACACTGTAGCCGAGTGTTTGAGCACCTAAAATAAAGTTTCACATATGACGAGACCAATCCATCAAGTTTCCATACATTATCACAGATGCCTGATACAATACAAGGTACTGTACATCCACCCATCCATTTTCAATATCTCGTTTTCAACTTCCATTGGGGGCATCACCCCAGAATTTTTATTTTATTTAAAGATGGCTATTACAGTACAGTACTGTACTCGATATTTGAATATGTACTGTATTAACATCTCCAAAATTATTTAATTACTGTACTGTATATGATTTATAACAAAATTTCAAACCAAGTACGTACTGTATTAATCTTGTGTAGTGTTGAAAAAGTGACCAACCTCTGTAGGCAAATATTCCAGTCTAGCCTTCCTGATACAGTATAATGGATAATATCCATTTTATTTGTACAGGGTACTCATTCCTCTGTGCTCATAAATACACGTACCAACTTCACTTTGCCCAAGTGATTTTCATAGATACTGTATATACATACATAATGCCATTGTGATTTCATTGCCATTTTCACTTCTCCAACAATGATTTATGCTAAATCTGCACCAATATGAGAAATTCACACCATTTCCCCAAAATACTGAACACATTAAATAAAATAATCGTCTTACCTTATATTAAGCACGACTTCTAGCCAAGGTCCAAAAGATGTCACCTGCCACGCACCTGAAGATACACAGTACTATAATTAGAACTGAAGATAATTTTACTTATAACAAAATAATATTGGTCATTATTAAAAAAATTTATAGTAGGTATTTATATTATAAAGCAGCAATCACCAACAGGTGAAATGGTTGGGCACGTTTACTATCACCTAATGCTTCTGTTCACCTAGCAGTAAATGGGTACCCAGAAGTTAGTGGACAGGTGGAAAGGGGCATGAGGTGAAAGGAAATGCGTCCAACCATTTCTGTGACGGAGAACAATGGGAGAACACTGCATGAACATCAGAGGTCCTTGGTTGTTTAATATCCTCCCAGCAAGTACAGTATAAGAAATATTGCAGGAACAAAAGTGGAAGTCTTCAAGGAAAAAAACTGAACACTTCTTGAAGTGCCAGACCAACTGGGCTGTAGTGGATATGTGGGCTTGCAGGCTGCTCCAAGCAACACCCTCTTGGACCAAGTTCTCACAAGGCAAGCCTGACCCAGGGACAAGCATGGGGAGTAGAACAACTCCCATAACCTCATCCAGGTACAATTCAGATACAATCCAAGTAATTATTTATATGTACAAATTTTTATTGTATCCAAGCATATAGACCTCATCTTCGGGACATATCAGTTTGAGAAAATTCAACAGAGCAAGAAAACTCATCCCAGAACAAACTTGACTCATACCAGAACAGGCAAGGGCCACAGGATTAACAATACCCTGTACTGCAAACCAGACGTGATGGGACTGATCTGTTCGAAACTTAAAATCCCAAGGAATTTGGAGGATATTGATCCAGCAACCTTTCCTCTTAATTGGTAGAGTATGCATCAAAATGTGATGCCCCAAGACCAAAAAAGCATCGTACTACAAAACTGTAGTCGCATGCAAAATTTACATACTGTTCCGTTTTCTCTTTTGTGTCCTCTGGTATGTTAGGAGAGGGAACTTTAGTACAACAGTTTCTTGGCATTTGGAACCCTTCAGAGGACAGGTTGGATCCCGAGTACTACTTTAAAAGGTCAGATATAACACATACATAGAGCAATGGCTTCAAGGCACAATGTAGGATAAAACAAAAACAGATGCTTTTTCACCTATAGGGGTATAAACCCTTTGGCAGTTAGGTGGGTAGCATCATCTACCAGCAGTACAGTCGGGTTCATTCTCGATGCACAATCAAGACTTCCGGGTTCGAATCTCGGGTGGGACAGAAATGGTTGGGCACATTTCCTTTTACCTAATGCCTCTGTTCATTTAGCAGCGAGTAGGTACTCAGAAGTCAACCAGCTCGTTATGGGGTTGCATCCTGGGCAGGGTCAGTACTTCAGCCTCGGGGAGGGGGGAGGGGAGACCTTGATAGAAGCCAAAACGTGTATAAATACATTCTGGCTTCCTGTCCCCTGACAATATCCAGTATCAGCTCTTGATACTGGTAATGGCTCAAAAGAGCCACCACTTACGGGCTATTCATGCCCGTGCCACCTTTTGAATGGCTTCATCTTAACACATTCACACGGGAGACATCTCCCGTCACGCAGGGTGCAGTCGCACCTCCACAGATCTCCAGTATCATAAAAATAAAAAAAATAAAAATAAAAACAAACAACCTGTTTGTTGACATAATTGTATTTGTGCTGCTTTTTCAGCTATGTTTTCATTTCTTGTTTTCATTCTACTCATTATGCTCAATTAGTATTAAGCTTGTCATTTAAGTTTATCATGCCCGAAACGCTTTGCGTAATAGTGGCTTTAGGCATTGTATGTACTAGCTCTACCTATAAGTCAACCAATCTTTGTAAAAATTTATTGTATGTATGTACCTTACCTAAATAAACATTTTATTTTTTAATAAATTATTATCTATCCGGCAAAGCTGTAAATGCTGAAACATTGCTACAACTCAAAATCCACCTAGATAAAATTGTCATGACAAATGGGGGGGACCTTTGACAAGCTGCTGGCTTCCTGTTCTTGTTTAGGGCACTAGAGAGATGACTCGCAGGTAAATTCAGGTAGGAATAGCCTAACCATTTAAGTAATCCCATAAAAGATGTAACTGGAAAAAATTTCAGGATTACTGTAATAGGAAGGGACCTTTCACAAGCAACTGGATTCCTGTCTCCATCAAGGCCCCCAGAGATGGCAGTATTCAAGTAAGGAAGCTATGGGTTGTTTACACTGATAATTTGTTTACAGTATTGTAGTTAGCAGGAGACATTGTATACTATTTAGGTTCTATAAGAAAATGAGTATACTGTACAGAATACCTGCATTGATGTTTTCCATGCTGCCAAGTTAACTTTAGCAGCTTATGTTGCTAATAGCTTTAATAAAGTTACATATAATAATAATATAAAAATTATATAATCAAATACATACAAAGCCTTTTAAAGTTTTTTGAGCAAAACAAAGTAAGTGAGAGAAAAATTATTATTAGGTATAATGAGGTAAACACTTAATACTAAAAAATAGAAGCATTTTAACATGAGATGTTAATGAAAAAAACAGATATACAAAATAAAGGTGAATACTCAATGATGACAGGCAATAAACTATATACTACATTATAGAATATTTTTAACAACAGTACAAAATGTTTGATATTATTAATAACAGGAAGGATATACAAGGGTAAATTATAGAAAGCAACTGACATACCAGAAAACTGAATAATCAATAAAATTGAAAGGATTAACAGGAGAAACATTTAATAATAAAAACAAGAAGCAATTTAACATACATGACTAATATGCTATTTAGCAAAAATAAATACATTACAAGACAATGGTGAAAGGCATACATACATTTTTAGTCAATCAAATTTTAATTTTACTACAAGATATGTAGATATTTCTTATTGAGGTTTTAGTGTGCAGTCTAAAGTGAATCTAATGGTATCTTCTTGAGGTTATCTTGAGATAATTTCGGGGCTTTAGTGTCGCCGCGGCCCGGTCCTCGACCAGGCCTCCACCGCCAGGAAGCAGCCCGTGACAGCTGACTAACACCCAGGTACCTATTTTACTGCTAGGTAACAGGGACATAGGGTGAAAGAAACTCTGCCCATTGTTTCTCGCCGGCGCCTGGGATCGAACCCAGGACCACAGGATCACAAGTCCAGCGTGCTGTCCGCTCGGCCGACCGGCTCCCCAAAAAAGTCTAATAATACTAATAATGGTAGTCTAATAATACTTTCTCAAGTCAGTCTGGCCCTGGGTCGGGCTTGGGCAGTAGAATATTTCCCAGAATCTCATCAGGTAGAGGAAATATTATGGTATTCCAAATGTGGAGGCAGAAGTTGGAATAATTCTGGTTGATTCTGTGGTAATAGTTTCCTCTACTGTTGCTTATACCCCATTAACTTGTAGATTGTCTGGTTGGCAGTGTTAAAATCTGAAAGGATCAAGTGATTTGTTAAACTTGGAGGTCCCCCCCCCCCCCACCTATCAGGGGTCTTGGACAGCCCCATGCTTACCTACCAATTCTTGTCCCTACAATCATTACCTTAAGAAAATTTTTAAGTACAAAAAATCCAGCTGGATGAAATTATTAAGACATGGGGAAGGGGAGCCTCGAGGAACCTTTGACTGGCTTCCTGTCCTCGCCGAGGCCACTAGCGAAATTGTGGCCCTAAAGTAAATTCAGGTAAATAAATACAGCATACAGTATAATGTACAGCCTTTACACCAAATCTAATTATGGAAATAGCAAAACTAAAATACAGTACTGTACAAAGATAATTATCCTGAAACATGACAGTGCTTTTTAAATAACAACTTTCATATAAATTAAAAAAAATTGTACCCTGTACTGTACTGAATATTCCCATTGTGGAGTGAAGATTGCTGTGGATGCTGAGTTTCTTCTTTCTTGTCCTGTTGTTGCGAACTCTGATGTCACAAGTCAGCTTAAAGCCATGCTAAATGGTCGTAAACGAGAGAAAATACGTTTATGATCAATTAGTATGGCATCAGGCATGACGTAATAAGCCATATTTGTGAGCAGCTGCAAAATAAGCTATTGTCAAAAGTTGGTTCAAGGATTTAATACACGTGACTACAATATAAGACTACAGTACCCTGTACTGTATATTACACATGTGGCTTCATTATAAGCAAAGTAGGTGAAGGTTGCCATTAAATGTTGGATGCTTTGCTATATAAAGTACTAATGGGTTGCAGGTCAGGAGGGGAGAGGTTGAATAGGGGGGGGGGGTTCAAATGGGACTGTCAGTTCTACAAAACCAATTTTCAACCTTAGCATAATTTAGTGTTACTACTTGCCTTGCTAGTACAATAGCCAAAAACCCTAACTAATAAATCTAAATAAAAGACATCAATTACAAAAATACCAGTAGCAGTCTGGTAACCCTTTCCACTACTGCCCACAAGATGAGTATGGGGTGCATAATAAATGAACTAAAATAAACAAAAAAAATAAAAGCAGTAAATGGCTACTTTGGTTTTAGGCAACTGTTGTGGGGTTGCATCCTGGGAAAAGTTAGTCATTGACCTCGATGGACCTCAAACAGCCTATCAGGAATTATGTCTCCTATGTGGAAACCAAGTACTGTACTGTATAATACAATACAATACAATTTTATTTAGGTAAGGTACATACATACAATAAATATTTACAAGGATTGTTTAACTTATAGGTATAGCTAGTACATACAATGCCTAAAGCCACTATTACGCAAAGCGTTTCGGGTTTCGTTTTTTGTATAACAAAATAAAGGTCCTACTCAGCACAAAATGATTGACATGGCACGAACAGTGAAACCCACACAAATGCTAAATAAACATTAAATCCTGTAACCTTGTATTTTCAAACATACAAGGTCCCAAAACACACATAATAAAAGTGCTTTATAACTAGGCCACATCACCGACTCACGTGGCTAACAATTAGCACAAACTTATAAGCACCAGACATCGGCATGGCTGAACGAACACACATGTTTCAGACTTCAGACGTGTGACTACAACTCTTTGAGCAACGTGAATAAGGCTTCACGTCACAATACAGTAATAGTGAATGGACACAAGTTCTAGACGGCAAACCTCGTGTCCAAGTCACCTGCTAATGTTATACAGAGTTATATTGCGTTACTCTTGTATATACTCTTTTAGTATGTACTTGTACTTGAGTACTTGTAGTACTCTAGAGTATATAATCTTGTAGTATGTACTTGTACTTGAGTACTTGTAGTACTCTAGAGTCTATAATCTTGTATGTACTTGTACTTGAGTACTTGTAGTACTCTAGAGTATATACTCTTGTATATTGCGTTACTCTTGTACACTTCGTCACTTGTATAATAGTACTGTTCACACAGGTCACCAGACCTAAAGTAATAAAATAATGTATTATAATATAAAGGTTAGTCATTATAACAAAGACAAATCTCTCATGATTAATACCAGGATGACAAGTGCCAGAGGAAGATGACTAGACCGAATGTTGGAGCCACCACACCAGGACCTGACGAGGCGCGGACCTTCACTGACACACTGACAAGCACCTACCTGCATGTGGGCCCACTTATAGGAGGTGTGGGTGACGCAGCCGTGTGGGTGACGCAGTCGTGTGGGTGACGTGTCCGCTACTCGTGGCGACACGCACCCACACGCATTTCACAAGCCCGGATTTACATTCACAAGGATTTACACTCGCAAGCATTTAAAAATTCCAGTTATTCCCGTAAGACATGACAGCATCTGGTTTTTGATTGATTGACGACTGGTGAAGATTAAACTACACAGGAGGTAGCACGGACACGAATAGCCCGTAGCTGGTTGTTCACATTTGTCGGGATCTGATGCAAGCTAAGGCAGGAGTGTCGGTGTAGGGAAGGTCAGCTCCTGGCGGCCAGCATGTGTGGACGTGTGGTGGTTCTGTGCTGGATAAGGCGGGCGCTACTCAGTCCTCTCCCCCTCCACCTCCTCCAGGACCTCACTTGTTACCAACGAAACTCTCACATGTTACAACGGGCGAGTTCTGCTGGACATTGCCCCATGGTTGAACGCGTATTTACAAGTCTACGTTGCAATATGAACTTTCTCTTTCAATACTTCAGCTACAAGATGGAACTTGCCAGGATGAACCAGTTTAAGCTAGTCAAGTAAATACATTTTACCCAAGGGGTTTCACCCCTCCACATCGTTTAACTATCACACAAACAAGTTTCTTTATGTCACGGAAAAATTATATATATCTAACAATTAAGAAATTCATCTTAACTAAGGCTGTTAGGAGCTCTAAATAGTCTATAAGGTCTTATTTTAATAAAACCGTGTAAAGTATAAGTGCGTTCACGCAGAAGTACATGCACACACACACTATTAGGACCTACTCGTGTTAGCATGTCAGGGCTCAAGAGCTAACGTCTGACCATGTACCCATATTTATTAGTACATAGACGCACTTGCCTTATCAGACCTAGTCCCAGCGAACACCAGCTAAACATACATAACGAGAAGAGATAAAATGTCTAACCTCTGGCAACCAGTGACCGCCTCGTCATAGTTTGATTATATAATGGAGCTGAAAGAGCTAGAAGAGAACAAAGAGTAAGGAAGAATCTGGTGGGATACTGCCAGGAGAGTAGTATACGGTACTTTAACTAGAATGGAGTAAATTACCCATACGTGTACCAAGCGAGGTCAAATCAATATAAATTTGTGCTCAACAAGAGGCTAGAAAAGTTTAGAACAGGAACAAAATATATATAGCAGAACATAATAGGAAAATGCGATAGGGAATTAGAAACGAATACAGACTTAATAAAATTAAAGAAAGTAAACTGCTAAACTACTATCTCGGAAGGCCGACTAATATTAACTAGGCAATCAAAAATGTATCGGGAACTTTGTACCAGACAAGATGTAGTTGCACCATCAGTTCCTTGCCCCCATCTTCTGAACGTTTTGTAGTTCGGTGCAATACCTGTTCCAACGTTTTTCTTTACACATATTTACGTATCGAATTTTAACCACTTTCTCGTGTAACACAATTTACAACACGAAGATATTTCCGACATTTCAGCGACTCGTCTGCCAAATTGCCATACATGTCTGGTCGTTCTGCATTTCCTAGATTTGAACATTGCTTATTTGTCTACTTTATTAATCCTCGTTAGCATCTTAAGCCTATATGTTTCCTCTATTCTTCCTCGTAGCTAAGTCGACCCTTATTACACATCTTTGAACATTACTTTGCGTGTTGGGGTGCCACGCGGGAACTGTGGGTCTAGAAGGTCTTTTTTTTTCGTTTTTTTAATTTAATTTTCTGCCGTGTGCCTTTGGCTTTAGATTTAGAGTCACGTCTACTCCCAAATCTTGCTCTTTTTATTATGCACGATTATTTCCCTCCATTCTACATTACCCTACGGCTCCTGACTACTGCAGGACCCCTTCAACCACTCATAGCAACGTGGCCAGCGGAACTTCAACCTTGGCGCGAATTATCTTACCATTAAATTGACCCACTGACATGAAATTGTTGAATTCCACAAGTCGACTTAACAATACTTGGATTTTAAAAATTACTTTGTAATGATCACAATCAACATTATTGCCGTGGCCACGGCCGTGAACGTGAAAATATCAGAATGTGCTTTACTATACAGTACTTACTAATCTCTCATCTCATTTTTTCTTACAATGTATCTGTTATCATTTTATTAATTCTGGTAGAATTTACCTACTTAAAATTATCTGTTAGATTAAGGACCTGCCCGAAACGCTGCGCGTACTAGTGGCTTTACAAGATTGTAAATACTATGCTATGTATTCTCTCAAACCCAATGTACCTTCTTATATATAAATAAATAAATAAAACTTATGCTCTTACCGAGCTCGATTTGATCGAGCCTATTACCTCAGTAATAGCCTATTACCGAGATCTTACTTATGCTCGATTTGTTGTTTACCAGTCGCGTCTATTTTAAAATTGTCCACACATTGCTTGCAGGGAGAACCATACGCGACTTTATTATTTTGGTCTGACCATTAATTTGTTAATGGTATCCGTATACTGTACGGATACTTTACAGTCACATATTGACAGGTTTTTCTTTATAGTTTTAAGGAAGCAAGATACATTTACTGATCTTTATTTGTGGGTGGCTGCATACGGTAAGCTAAACACATTTTCTAGCTAAAAAAAAGTTAATCAAGAAACCAATAGCTGTATTTGAGCCATATGTATGTAATTACATATTCTAGGGGTTGAGATATTTCTTCATGTGTATATTTAGAATGTCATACTCTCTGCTTTCAGAAACACGATAATCGATTTTTTCCACTTTGTATCGTGGCATGAAAAATAATGACTATCCGCACTTGACTGGGCACCATTCTATTTACCTAGTCCTAATGTTACTACCCAAACAATGTACAGTACAAGCAGGTAGGGGAATAGAATACTTCAGTTTGCTTCCAATTTATGAGAGTAGATTGACGGAATTCATTCAAATTATCCGAGAACGCTTTGAAGGATTTACCTTTAGGCCACATCGAAAATCAAATTAAAATATCTCAACCAAATCAAGTTTAATGTCGAGGAAGATTTTGAGGCAACAGCTTAGTCAGAAAGGATTCCGTGATAGGGAATCTGCTAACACCAATGCCATACTTGTCACAGCTTACTCTCTCGTCTACACCAAGAGTTATTATGCATACACTTATAGGGCAATGTAAACGACAATGGGCCGCCAAGATGCACATTGCATGTTTGTTGGGACAGCTCATGAAAACCATCTCCCACAAATGCAAAATCCCTATCAAATAACCCAAGATAATGTTTAATTATTTAAAAACTACTTTAACTACCCTAGAAGTAACCATTACACAAATTTTGTGTAGTAAACTATAAAAATCCTAAGAACAGGACAATATATTTAGAAATCATAAGGAACATTAAATTTTTTTTATTATTATTATTTTCTACCACAGACGTGGCCACATATTTACAATGCTAACTAGCATATATACATTTTCTTCTGTCCTCCATGGACAGGGTAAAAGATTTGTCAAACATACAGTTCAGAGATTTACTGAACAACAACAGAAGGTGATCGTAGTGCTTTTAAAATGTTAGGCTAAGCTACGTACGTAAATACACAGATACACAGGTTTATGAATGCATTAATGTGAATTTATAATGGTGAAATGTAATTCTGATCAGCTTTATACTTTACACACATACATACACACACACACACATATATACACATACATACATACATACGCATATTTGTCTCTTTTACTCTGACAGGTTGAGATAGCTGACAAGAGAAACTAGTGTGCAATTAAGAACTTAACCACTGAAGGTGATTAAGATGCTTGTACAAGCTCCATTTCAATAATTTTCCTTGTATTCCTAGCTCAGCAAACTGTTCTAGTATGATTTTCCTGTTTGCTGTATCAAAAGCTGCAGCTAGGTCGATGAAGACTGCTTGAGGGGAAGTTTCAATATGAGGTACTCAGCAAAACAGTGTTGTGTACTGAGCCCAGGCATAAATCCAAACAGTTGGGGTGACAGGTGCCCCTGTATACGATACATGAGTCGGTTAAGAACAATGCGTTCAAGCACTTTACAGACACACGATGTTAGAGATATGGGTCTATAATTATCTGAGTGGACGAGGAGTCACAATAACGTGGCTGAAATGTTGACCAAACCACACACTAGAAAGTGAAGGGACGACGACTTTCGGTCCGTCCTGGACCATTCTGGACCACAATGGACTTGAGAATGGTCCAGGACGAACCGAAACGTCGTCGTCCCTTCACTTTCTAGTGTGTGGTTTGGTCAACAGTAAATGTGGATTCGGCCTGTATAGCCTACCACATTACACACGTAGCCTTGCTTAAAAAGCGAAATTTAATTTCCCATTATGGCATTCCCTTCATTTCTTCCAAGGTCAACCAATTCTCCCAAAATTACATTACTTACATGTACGAAATATGAACTGTTGCGCTTCTCACCCCCAAAAGGAGTCCATATTGTGCTTTTGAATACATTACTAATAGGCATAACAAATTCAACAACCTAATATTTCCCAGGTCAAATTTAACCAATTCCGCCCTCAAATACTAGGCCTAGCAGAGGTTAATTATTGCTTTATCGGGCCTTCTGCAAAATCAGTAATACGATACGTGGACTTATTGGTGGAACAGTCCACATTTTGTATAGTTCAAGTTCAAATATGTTTATTGAGATAAGAAAGAAATACATCTCAAAGGGATAGAGTAGCTTAGGCTATTTCTACCCCCCCAGGTTTTGTATATATATCTCACAGTAGCTATATGTAAGCCTATTATTTTGAAGTTTAGTTCGTTTATTATGCACCCCATACCCCATCCTGTGGGTGTTAGTAGAAAAAGTTAGTGGCACATCATGGGCTCCAGAACTGAACCCCTAAATTCATTTAGATAAGCAAGTTACGATCTTGCCAAGTTAGTTAAATATTTTAATGAATTATTATATGTATAATGGGTTCGAGAACGGCCACAAGCACAGTCTAAATTAGGCAACT